GCCTAGGGAGATAGAGATTGGGTGATGCCTGGGGATGGCTTGGAACCAGAGGGCAGGGCAGACTTGTAGCCTGGGGATGGGGCTTGGAGCCCGAGGACAGGGCTTAGAGCTGGGAGAGGTTTGTGGCCTGAAGATGGGGCCTGGAGCCAGAGGATGGGGCTAGTAGGCCCAGGGATGGGGCTGGGAGCCCAGTATATGTAAATATTGTGATGAGGCTGGGTGTTAGGCCAAGATGCATCTGCAAGGCATGGGACATGTCAAGGGAAGGTCGGAGCATGTACAGAGGCCCTTGTCATCAGGGCAGAAAAAGGGCAGCCTCCCACCTGATTAACATCTGATAATCTGGATCATCAAGGCATGGCAGGAGAGACGAGCGGATGGTTTGCCTGGAAACAAGTGGGCAGGTCTAGATTGAGATCAGCCCCGGGATGTCCACTTGTTACACATGTCTTCTTTACATTTTACGAAAGAACAAGTTCTCCTCCTTTCCTTTCCTTTCCTTTCCTTTCCTTTCCTTTCTCATGTCCTTGTGACAAAGTATTTATCAGAATTCAGATTTATTGGAATCTGACTGGCCACACCATGAGTACTTCTGCTATGGCCTCAAACTTGCAACCTCTGGGCTGTCAAAAATGCATGTTAGTGCCCATACCTCTCCAGGCTGTTCTTCTTTTGCTGATTCTATTGCTGTATTTTTAGCATAGTGGGTGCTCTACATGCAAGCTTTAATGCTTAATCGAGTAGACTATTTTACTGTGCATTAAAGCATCATGTCAAAAAAGTGACATTATGCTAATGCACAGTAAATTACTCTACTTTGCATTAAGTGTCGCTAAAAAGGTCTGCAAATGCACTACTGTGCAATAGCACGGTCTAATGTGTATTAATTAAATACCTCACATTTGAGGTACTAAATTTAATGAGCATTAGAAAAGGCACATTAACGTGCGTGTAGATACACCCAGTGAGTTTCATTATATTAGAATTGTATCTTGATCAGGTAGAATAATCGTTCCTTTCCTGCATAAATAAATATAAATTCAAATAACAATAAACCTTGCCTGACTATGAACAGAATGTTTCTTATAGGTGTGTAACAGTTTCCTTAAAGCCTGCTCATTATGAGATTTTTATCCAGAGAAACTTAATGAATGCAGTGGCATTAAATAGAAGGAAAATACTGTCATAGAGTCAGAACTAATTTGTGGATCCTTTTCATCTTTAATCTAAAGATTTAGAATATCTCATGAAACATTTTGTAAACAAGCTTTATTAATCCAAGCAAACCGTGTGTAGTGGCACTTTTTATAATAATTCTTGATCGACTAAGCCATTGAATACTATACTTCTTATAACCTTGAGCTTAAGTTTTCAATGTTATTTTAGTTATTTAACTTAATTGGATTCGTACTGCTAAATCACTTGGTATCAAGCTAAAACTCGAATCTGTCTCTACTAGTACTATTTTCTTGGCTTTATAATGATACATTTTGGTACTTTTTTGCTAGGAGAAGTTAGTGATGGGTACCAATATTAGAATTTTGCTACTCTGCCTTTTAAACTGTTACTGTTCTACCATGTTCCAGTAAAAAATTGGTATAAGAACCACACATCCAAGTCAAGTGACCCATCAAGTTGTACATGGATCTAATGAATACTCTTCATGTCGTGTCTTATGCAGTTGTCACTAGTTGAACTAACAATTATGTTGTGTCCATGGAGAGCTATAGATGACCAGTCCAGTCCAACAATTTGTTGAAAATGTATGACATGCAGAGTTTCTACAGTGCATTCAAGGCTGTGTATAAGGGTGGGCAATTATTTCAACTGGAGAGCCACTTAATGAGTTTTGGTGAGCTGTTGAGGGCTGCAAGGGTAGCCCCGCCCCTTGACAGGTGCCCCATCCCCTGGTCACCATCTTGGGACTGGAAGTCCCACCCCTAACCCTTGACTTTTGCCACTGGAAGTCCCTCCCATTGCCCCTGGAAGTATTCCTGGGTGGGGAGGAGGTTACCATCTTGGAACTAGGGAAAAAAAAAACAAATTGTATACTGAAAAGCAAATATCAACTATAACATATTTTAATTTTATTTCAAAAAATATTTTGTCCCAATTGTGTGTGTGTGTGTGTGTGTGTGTGTGTAGTGTACATAGAGGTGATTGCATAATAACTCAAAATTAAGTCTTACTCTTGTATATTTGTGGGGGGGAGCATAGAAGGGTGTGAGGGGATATTGGGTGAGTATGGGCGGTGTGTGTGCACGTGTGTGTGTGCACATGGGAGGGGGGAAAGGTGTGGGTATTGGGTTTGTGGGGGGGGCTGTGGGTGTGTGTTGGGGTGCATGGGGGAGTGTGAATGTGGGGCCCCCATGAACATGCTTATCTTGCACATGCCTCCCTCGTTGTGCAGTGAGCAGGGTCGGGCTGCTTGGTCCATTCTGCAGGGCTCCCCAAAGAAAGTGAGGCAGACTAATGTAATAAAACCATATGAATGGAAATCAAGGAACTGTGTTACTGATATCTCTTTTTGTATACTCCTGTAACTTTTGGCATGCCCTGAAGCCCTGGAAACAATCCCTTTTGTAACTTGGGATTCCATTTTTTTGTGTTTTTTCTATTTAAAAAAAAAAAAAAAAAGACGGGGAATTCTAGTTTTTTGTTAAACAGTCTCCTATTCTTCTTTCTTATCGCTTCCTCTTCTTTTCTGTCACCATGGACAGCAGTAATATATGTAGTTATCACCCTAACCTTTACAAACTTGATCATTAGTTTTGGCAGCTTTAGTGATCTTTGACTGGTGAGATCAGTAAGTTCTGTTGTTGATTATGAAGCGTTCGGATTTGTCTTCTACTTGCACGTGCTTCTCTCCCAAACCTCTTTGCTGCTACAGAGTTATAATGCTACAGAAGGTCCCTTTAAAATTAATTACAGACTGACTGAAGTGCAGTGAGATGGCTAAGAGAAACTACTACTTGTAGAGTTGAGACCTTTGAGAAATAACATCATTAAGAAATCAAATACCCCCAAGTGGCAGGTGATTAGTTCATCAGAACTCCTCAGTGGAAGCCAGTGGTCCTCACTGCTGGGAGGGGAAGGTGCCAACTGTCAGAGTGGCACAAAGGGTAGCAGACAAGATAGCTGCCCCCTTGTCCTTCCTTCCCTTCTGCTGGAGCTTCTCTGCCAGTTGGCACCAAGGGGCAGGGCAGCATGAAGGGCAGCCATTAATCAAGATAGCGGCTGCCCCCCTCTCCCTCCTTGGCCTCCTCCACCAATCAGCACTGAGGGGCAGGGCCAAATGAAAGGCAGTCACCAGTCAAGGACTAAGTGCAGACAGTCAAAAAACCTGAGGCTGAATCAGTTCAATCTTTGCAAGTTAGTTTAAGTTGCATAGATTGAACCAATAAGCAAACGAACAGACATTTACTTTTGATTCCAGAAATGCAGCCACATGCCTGCAGTGGCCCAGGCCAGAGTCTGGGAGATTTTAGAGTATACCTTGTGGCTTGACTGGAGCAGACAGCTTTGGCCAAGGCTGGCCTACCTACCCTGCAAGGTAGGGGAGGTTGCAGGGGAGGTGCAAAGCATCCTGGAATGCTGTGGTACTGTGACTTAACTTGAATCTGGAGGGAACCTGGGGCAGAAGTTCAATAAACCGATTTAACCTAAATCAGTGAAGTCTGATACTACATCCATCCAGGTTTATCTTAAACTGGTTTTGAAAGCAGTTTATGTGCACCGAAGTTCTGTTGTGCTGCAGATTACACAAAATATGCTGTGCGAACTGTGAGTTGATTGCAAAAAAACCCTTTGCCTCTCCACAATTTAGGTAGATCCCTAATTATATAAAAATAGAGACTGTTTGTTCCCCTAATCTCTTGTGCAGATATTACGAAGACTTTTCATTTCTCATTGAAAGGCTTTAACTTTGCAAATCACTCCCCTTAGTAGTCCATCAGAACTCTAGGGCAAGAGGGATTCGTTTTGTATGGCTCTTACCTTCTTTAAAACGTGTTTGAAGCAACTACCTGCTAGCATATTAGGGCTGTAACAAACTAGTTAAATAAAATAAGCAGCTCTGTGCCAGGACTCTAATCTTTTAGGAATTGAAGGACTGTTTAATTTGACAGTGTAGAAGGAGAGAAAGCTGGGAGAATATTGTTTTTTGGAGGGGAGCATTGTTTTATTTATTTTGTTTTTTGCCTTGTTTTCCTGGTTAATCAAACATAATGTCAGCATGTAGATGAAATTCACAAAAACCCTACTCAAACCCTTACTACTACTACTACCTGCTCAAATGCAGTCTGTCTCTCATCTTGGTCATTTATCAGGCTCATATTCTTCTGTGTTCCCAGTTATGCATTACTCACTATAGTGCTAATGGTACAGAATATGTTGTTGGGTCTGAATGTGTGCTGTTTAGCAGAAACAAACAGGTGTGTAGCTGCAATGACAGTTCAGTTGCTATTTCACATCCTTTTAAATCACTGGTAACTGAATTCAAGTGGAATAGCAAATTGTTTCTGCAGATGCCTGTTTGTGCTCAGGGGTCAATTAGAAAAAGATGGCTTAAAAGCCTTGTTTAAATGCCTGCATAATGCATCCTACCTTAATTATATTGAGTGTTAATTGAAGATTTTAAACTTACTACTGTTTAGTGGTGGTATTAGTCTTCACTTTTAATGTAAACAAAAGCAACTTTGGTTTTGGTTTCCTTTTGCATATTTTTAGTAAACATGCAACAAGTTTAGCATCTATTTTGTAGGTGAATGGATGACATTTTGTTCCATTAATCTGCTAAAACAAAGTTGCTTCTGGTTTAAAGGCAGTATTTGGTGTTCAAGAAATATTTTTCAGCTATTGGTTTGAAATAATAAAATCCTGTTTATATTACACAGATTTTTTTTTTGTGGTGGTGGTGGTAATTTTTGTTGGATTTTTCTCCCCCCTCCCCTCTCTCTCTTTCCAGTCTTCACGAGGAAATCATTGACTTCTACAAATATATGTCTCCTAGAGCTGAAGAAGAGAGGATGCGAATGGAAGTGGTGAATAGGATAGAAAATGTTATTAAGGAACTCTGGCCAAATGCAGATGTGAGTAGGACCTGGCAGGATTTTAAAGCTTTAGCTCTTTATGATTTTTTGTTCATTTATTGTAAACAACTTTCTTAATTAAAAGATCACCTTTTCTAATGATGATAATATTAATAATTACTATTATTACTGCTATTGATATTAATAATGATGATGATAATGTTTTCTAGCCAAATATAATATACAATGACACTTTTTCCCTGGAAGCAATACAGTTGAACATGGCATTTTAAAACAATACAGGAACAAAGGCCCTGTCCTAAGGATCTAAATGAGCTATACTACAGAAAAAGAAAGGGCATGAAATGTTATTAAGTTTTCATATATTTCATATATTTTGGGGGTTTTTTATACCTGCAATATGTTACTTAGGAGCATGAGGTTAGGCATAAGTGCAGAGGTAGGTTGGTTTTTGGTGGGGGTAGCTTGATGGCCATAATGATGTAAGACAGGGTCAAACTTTTAAGCCCCTGGAGGCCACACTAGTGGGACTGGTTGCAGCACAGGCCACACCAGGCATCCTGTGTGGACACTCTTTTGACCACTGCACTGGTCGACCATGCAGGCAACTCTTCGCTGCTGCTGCACTGAGCAACCCTCCCCCCACCACTGCTCTGTGCAAGTGCAATCCCTTCCTGCCACAAAATGTGCCTGCATTATACCCTGGTACTCAGCCCCAATTTCCTCCTCTTTCCCCCCCACCTCCCAGCATGGCCCAGACTCACCCTCAGTTCCCTGTGCTGCTGCACTGCCCCACCCCTTGGTGTAAAGGCAAGAAGCAGCAGTGGAGTCTAGAGCAGGGGTTGTCAACGGGTTGTCCGGCTGCATGTCACCCCCCGTCTTCACATCCGGCCACTGGGGGTACACTGCCTCATGTATGGCTGCTGCGGTTACACTGACTCAAAAAGGTTGAAAACCCCTGGTTTAGAGACTCCAGCTGCTATGCAGCCAGAACAATTAGAGGAGTCATGGCTGGTTAGGAGCCTGTGGGGCACATACATGTTCTGTTTTCTCAGTTACTTTTATTTAAAAAAAAAAAAAAAAAAAAAAAAAAAAAATGTATGTATATCTCCAGGAAGTTTTTGGGCTTTATCTATGAAACATAAAAACCGGGATGATCAGGATAAAAGGAAGAAAAGGAAAAAAAAATTGGTTTAAATCAGCAGTGAGGGAGTAAGGCTCCTGGGACTAGGGAAGGGGCAGGGGGAAGTACGTGGTACAGCTCATCAGCCGCTCCTGCGGCTGCAGCAGGGAGCAAAGTAGGGGGAGCTGTCAGTGGGTATAGGGTGCGGGGTGGGAGAGTGCAGTTTTTGCTGCTACACATCCCCTGGGAGGGCTGTGGGCTGGGGGGCACGTGCCCCCAGATCAGCGGTAGGAAGCACATGGCACCGCGCCCTGCCTTTCTTGCATGGCTGCGTTTGCGCCTCTCCCCCCTGCTGCAGCAGCCTGCTGCCGGGCTGCCTTGGTGTTTGGGGGGGGTGTGGGTAGTGGCATGTTGCTGGATGTTGGAGGGTGAATGAGACCTGACCCCAGCACTGGCACCTCCCGCCCTGCCTGGGGTCAGAGCTGGGAGCCCGGCACCCCCAGGCAGCGGCTGCAGCCCTGTGAGCTTACGTGGAGTGGCTGGGTGCAGTGCCTGCCGCAGGGAGTGGGACTTGGTTCTCCCTGCTGCCCTGCCCCCCGCGGGGCTCGCAGCTCCCAGTGCCCGAGGCAGGGCTGAAGCTGGAGCCGCCAGGGTGCAGCTTGGACCTGCTTGCCCCGGGATGGATTCCCATGGTGCGTCCTGCCTTACCTGGGGTCAGAGACAGGAGCCCCACGCCTCCAGGCAGCAGCTCCAGCCACCCTTCCCTGGCCCCTGCTCATCTACTGCCATGCCACTGCCCCCTGCTCTGCAAGCAGCTGCCGCCACCGCTCCTCCTCTCCGGCCGGCTGGAAATCTGTGCCTCAGGTAACTGGCACAGTGGCACTTTTAGCTTACTAGCACCACCCGTTTTTCAGTTCAATTCCCTGTTCACGGACACAGGGAATTGAAACTCGTGCCAGTTAACAGGGATTTGAACTGAAAAACAGGTGTAAATCAGTAAAAACTGAATGACTTAAAAAAAAAAAAATCATGGAAATTATCGGTGAAAATCGGTAAAAACTTAGAATGCGCAACACTAGGCATGTATTACCCCTTTGTGCATTGCCAGTTGGACAGCCCTGATATAAGAGACACTGGTATAGGCAAGCAAGAAAGAATCCAAAATTAGCAGATACATCTGTTAAATTGTAATATGTAAGATAATGAATATAATTAAACAGACCTGTAAAGTGTCCCGTCACAGAAGTTTTTGCAACTCCAGTACCTTAGATCTACGGGTCCATGAAGTAAGTCTACTAGCTAGGGTGGAAGAATATCTGTGATGCAACATCTACAGATCATGTTTTAAACAATTTCATTTCAGATTTGATTTGTCAGATTTTTTTCAATTGAAAAACATGTTTTCTTTTTGTAAATAGCTAATGGGCCTAGTAAAATAGTGAGGGAAAATGCTTGGAATATATAAACATTTCCGTGGTCTTTATCTAATTTATTTGTAAATTGGCATTTATCCAATCATAAAACTACCTGAATACTACAGATTTTTTGGTTGAATAATATTTTTGACAAATGCTTGTGAGATCAATCAAATGATGTATTGTTGAACACTGTCTTCAATATGTTTCCTCTACCTTGTATCTTCCTATGTTTTTTTTAATCTTGTTTCTTTTCCTGCTGTTCCTTTCTTTCTCTCAAACCTTTCTGCTCCACTTCCTCATTTAACTTATCTTGTTATACTTCACCTCCTGCCATCTGACCTTAAGGCTTTGAAGTCTAACCAGAATCCAGAGGACTCTGTATATTTAACTCATGCAGATATATAAACAATGAATGGCTCCTCTGCTTAGGGACAATACCTGTGCAAAGCCAATTCTTATTGTCCTCCAGATTCTGGGAGATCAGATGGCTGGAGTTTTCTATTCTCAATGGAATGGACATAGTATAAAAGGGACTTGAAGCTTTCTCCTGGGGGGAAAAAAAAAAGGTAGACATGTCTTCCAGAACCATGATTACTCATGTATCCTAATGCATATATGCAGGCCACTGTTGACCCCAACACTTGGATAGGGCTGAGAAGTAGCAGAAACATTATCTCAACGTGCCTTTCCCGATTCCAAATACAAAGAAATCTGTGGTACTGGAGAAAGAACCCCAGATTAGGAGATCCTGTTGGAGATGCCCCCTGGCAGAACCATTTCCAAAGGAACACATTCCTCTGGAGGTCACGTGTTTTGAACAGTACAGTGGGATGCTCCTTTTGTAGGTGTATCATATCCAGCTCCTAGTCTTGAGTGTGCAGTCATTTGTATCTGCTGTGTTTATTTGTAACCACAACTTGTCAGATCTAGAAGATGGTAATACCCCCACTACTAATGTGCTAAGAAAAAAGAGTAAAGGAATTTTATGCCTCTCTCTCCCTTTCTTAGAACTTCCTTATGGTTTACGTAATGATTTTTCCCCTATATTGTACTAATGTCTATCATATCGCTCGGGTCAGATCCAGTCTACAGTTAGACTTGGCATCTAAATATAGCAGATCCAGCAAGTTGCCATACTTTTCTATGCTTAAGAGAAGAAATGTGCATGTTGCTATACCAGTGGTTCTCAACCTTTTTAGACTTGAAAAATGTCAGCTTTTAGTTTTCTATCTGTTCTTGACTACAGAAAAATAATAGAGCAGTTTTTATGTTGCAAAGAATTCAGAAAGATCATAAGTATGGATTTGTGTGTGAAATCTCTGAGTTTATCTTGTGAATCATGTTTGCAAAACTAGCAGTGCTGACACTGTGGTACCGTGTGGCACCCTTGAAAAGATTTTAAGGCACCCCAGGGTGCTATGGCACCTTGGTTGAGAATCACAGATAGACTTATAGAAGAACAGGATTCTAGCCCTGTTCAGATATTAAAAAATGAGCCTGGCATGTGGCTAATTGACTGACGTGACTTGTATCTCTGTTAGTAGACATCCCTATTTGCCTTTTTACAGTCATTACTAGAAGAGCAGTGTGCATGCTATAGCAAGTAGCTATTTCCTGCTAGAGGTCTGGGAAGGCTTCTCTCCTAACACCTGAAACTGAAATCCCTTTAAAGTTCCCAGTGAAAAGAAACAAATCCACAATCTGTCTCACACTATAGGTGGGGGAAGAGGCTGTGATGCCAGGGGAATAGCAAGAAAAGGATCTAAAGAGGGAGGACCCAGACCTTTTCTGTTGGGCTTGGAGGATTATACCTGTATATATAATACAGTATGCGGTTTTATTCCAGAAATTAGTTGATATCATGGTAGTTTATCTTTTGTAATGGGGTGACAAGCATTTTCACTGTTGTCTATATTCTTGAGGCTTTCACAGAATAAAATTATGCCACCAATAATTTTGCTCTCCAAACCAACAAAATTGGGATAGTTTACAGCAATATTAAAGGAGACGGATTAAGTAAACTGATCTTCACATGTAGGGCTTTCACTTTTCATACTTGTTCTTCTATCTTGTTAGTGGTAACTATAGTTGTCTAAAGAGACTGCAGAGACGCTGCTTCGTGGTGTCTGAGTTTATCCTTGTTCCAGAGGGATTGGGTTTCTGGCAGCTGGCCACTTGGGGGGGAGTGGAAGGGCAGAGATTTGTGGCCCACAGATTGCAAGGTTGCAAGCTGCAGCCTGTGCCGGCAAAAGGTTGCCAACCTGCTGTAGATGATAGTGTAGTGTTGCAGCTCGTGGCTCGCAAATTATTGCTCTCACATTTTAAAAACTTTACATATATTTCCAAATTAAGATGTTGAGCGTAAACAGATTAAAACTTTAAAGGATTACAACAATAAATTCATTACATAAAATGCAATTTAGAAATCAATATTACTTCCTCTACCAATTGGATATTAATTATTTGTGTTCGTTGTGAGGAAGCTTCAATATTTTAAT